GTGAGAGGGGGTGTGCGGGAGTTGCGGTCTCTGTCGGCTCGGTAACCGCACCGGAGCCAGTGTGAGCAAGTCCTGTGGCTGAAGAAGTCTACGCTAGAATAAGGCTGCATATCACTAAATATGTCTGTATTAAGCTATTTAGTGATAAAATATGAAATTAATTATTTTTTTTTTTTTGTGTGTGTTTTTTGTTTCAGATATGAAATCATTCCCCATATCCATAGTCAAATGGACTTTCAAGACGTTCAATGCTCAGTTTAGGCTATATTTAGGCCATGTTTTATTCAAGTATTCCTGATCCTGTTGATTGGGAGCTGTTGTTTGTTTTGAAGGATTAAAAGAGAAGAAATAACTTTTAAAATGTTCATGCTTTGTTCTGATGCATTTTAAATGGCAGTTTTTGGCACCAAATGTAGGCCTACAATATTATGTTAAAAACGTCAGCCATAGCCCTCAACATAATGACGTCATGTGTTTTCCAACCCAGCCATCAGCCCCCCTCGCTTCAAACAGCTTCCAGCGCGCCTGAAGGAGTAGAAGTAAAAAGTCGCCATAAAAATAAGTAGTAAAGTAAAAATATCAGAAAAATCTACTTGAGTACAGTAATGAAGTATTTGTACTTCGTTACTTCCCAGGTACTTGTTGAATGCATTCAAATTATTTCAAGAACATTAAAAAGCATTAAATTAGACTTTCTCATTCCTGTATAAACCCTAGAGACAGAAACTTGAAAAAGTGTTCGAAAAGGACTAAGAGAAGAACAGCTCCCAGGATAAAGTTGTTTTTCACACTGTTGTATAAAATGTTGAATGTGATTTCATTCCATACACTCCCTATGTAAACAGAGGGGGAAAGGAAAATCATAAAATATAGATATAGATGTATCTTAGTACGACTCTTATACTCTTGTAACGTCAAACTTTCAGGAAAAAACCCCAAAAGGTTTCATTTCTGTTTTATTTTGTCCTTTAATCGATCCAGAACATAAAACCAGTTTTATAAGCTCTGGTTCTCCTCCTGTTGATCCAGCCTGGCCTCTTTTATTTGATGAACGTAAAACCAGTTTGTTTTCTGAGGCGCCTCAGAGCAGGTGCTTCCTGCAGCCCCCCCTCCCTCCCAAACACATCCAATCCACCATTGTCTCTGTTTACCAAAACTTTCACCAAGTGTCTGTGAATAAATAACAGCAGCTGGCAGGACCGACCCCTCCCTTCCCCTGATGCTGCTTTCCTTTTACAATAACCAGACCCCCCCACACCCGCCTCTCTGACTCCTCCCAGCTCGGCTCTGCCCTGGATGACCCCCGGACGCACCAAGCGGCAGATGGTGCGGCGTGGCCCCCCGAGACATCTGTGTCCCTAACAATGGGCTCTCTGTGCGGCCCCCGGTGGAGCTGCGCCTTTGTTGGGAGCCTCATTCACATGCAGATGGAGGAGGAGGAGACGCAGCAGATGACGGGATTCATGCAAATTTACTGCCTTCAACTTTTGGCCACTCATAAAGCTTCTTTATATCCCAGAAACACAACAGAAATCCAAACTCCAGAAATGAATCTTTAAGGGTTTTATTGAGTATTTTTCATTTAAAGTTTACAGAACTTTTAATTCTAACAATCATTGAACACATCAGGACATTTTTTACAGGATGTTTGAGCAGAATCCTCCAATAATCTATGGAGTTAGTCATTTCTCTAAAGTGAAACAGCTTATCTGCAGAGAACATATTTAGATATAAAAATAGTTTAAAAGAAAAACATTTTAAAAGTGAAATTTAAGTCAAAATAGCTGGTGTTGAAAACTCACTCAGTAATTTATTTATTTTTTTTAGATATAAAATTAAGCTAAACTGTTATCGATAATGTTACAATTAAAATCTGAATTAGTAAAAATGTTTTTTTTGTTTTTTTTTCTTCTATCTT